GGATGTGTGGTTCTCACGTGGGAGCATCAAACTGAATCACTAAGAGGGCCTGGGTGGAAGTGATCCGCTCCAACTCTCGGCCTTTGAGGGCCCGATTCGGAACAAACCACGCAGGCAGCTTGGAGATCCTCGCTTGGAGACGGCTCGTTTTGACAATGGACTTGGGAATCACTGCGAGTTTCAAACAGGGTGGAGGATAATAAAAGCTGTGCGGCTCATGCCTATATATATATATGGCCTATGAGAGAACTTGGGGTTTCACACGATTGATTCCAAAAAACGACGGATGTGAAATTGACACCAGCACAGGAGCACAAAGAGGAGTGCATCTCTTACGAGTACACTCGCATTTGTCCGGCAAATCTTGGCCTCTATGTGAAACAATACCCGCCCGGGATTTGTACCAAGGTGCCAGGCAGGGATTTTTTCAAAGCTGCTGTTCACAAGCTTAAACCTTGATCCACCCTGCGGATTGATAGATTGACGGATTGGACTGTTGTTATTGGTTGGCTAGTCCCCCAGCCCGATACCTAGAGCTTCAAAACAGGCTTAAAACGATCCTGTTCCCAAATATCAGCCTTTGAACGTTTTGGGCAGAAAAACACATGCTATTGTGGGCGGTTTCTTTAGTTTCAGCTATTTCAAGGTCACACGGTCACAAGGATGGATGGGGATGCTGTGTTCAAAGCCATTACATTTCGACATGTGTCGTCATGTGCAAGTTTTGTGTTTTCGGAAAAGGCGTTGCGAATTGCTGGGGCAAAAAGGAACACCACTTTTCACACTGGTTCGAATCAAGTTGTTGTGCATTTGGCATTCATGTTTTGGGCATTTGGAATGTACTATGTTACTATGTTGAGCCAAACCGTCAAAATCAAAAAGGCGTAAAAACAAGCAAAAGGTGCTTCTCCGCGAAAAAGGCAGAACATTAAGTCTTGTCAGACTCGGGCTGAAATAAACTCATTGGGAAGATCAACCTAGGTATGAGAGACATACCGCCGTGCTGTTTGCCGAATCATTTGCGGAAGATACACATTCGGCAGACATGTTGGACACCGACGACGAAGAAGATGATGATGACGATGATGATCATGATGAGGATGACGATGATGAGGATGACGATGAGGAGGATGACGATGACGATGATGATTAGAATCGTTTGAAGTCGAAGATCAGGTCGTTGCTGCTCCTCGCAGCATCCCTCATCTTGAAAACTCCCCCGGCCTTTGGATACCCAACCCCGCCAGGTAAGTCCAATGATGACCAGTTGCAATTGATGGACCTCGGGGCCCTGACCTATCAGTGCCCGGAAGGCTATCAGAGCGGCACGGAGGGTGGCATGAAATTCGATCCCCACTGCAGCTGCACCTCCGACGAGGAGGAGGGCAGCAAGACATCCTGCACCTAGGGGAGCACCCCACTGAAAGCTAACATAGATCGTGAAAACCACTGGTGCAGCTAGAGGAAAGCGGTGTTTGAGGGTGCTATTCTCTCGTGGTCCATGTGAGTCAGAGACAAAGCTATCGTCATGTAGTTGTAACTGGGGTGTTGCACGCAGCTAGTGTTTTAATGTGTTCCTCGAAAAATGATACCTCTAAAACTTGCATTGCTGCACACCAGGGATCTACTCAGCTTGACCTTGATCGGGCGCGTTTAGCGGCTTCTGCGGTCCCAAAGCGGAACTGCGGAGATAGCCCGTCCTGGCCACCTGCCATGGCGGGTAATTTGTCAGGCAAAGGAAAAAGGCCACAAGTGACCTGATCGGGAGGGTCGATCTGGAATCTTTAGACCCATGGAGGGCATATATACCCTACAAGACCAGTTTGACCCAGTAAAACTTGACATTCTTGAGTAGCGCTTTTGCACCAACTCCAGTATAATGAGGTCATTGACCTGTAGGGGCATCATCATAAATTAGATATGTGTGGCAAATGTGGGGTGCAAACATGACGAGCCTTTTGGACCAACGTGGGGGTACCGTCCGCACCAGCATGCCGTCTTGAGGGGGGTGTACCATGTATATATATATACACATATATATACACATTTGGGCCCGTGACCCTTTGATGCAGGTAACTTCTCCATGGACCCTTTGGGCATAGGGCATGTGCATTTCGACATACTTCAACCATTTTGTCGGAAGTTTTTGAGGGACAACAGGGAGAACTTGGGAAAAACAAGATGATTTGCAAACCTTTTGTGCCGGGATCAGCCATACAGTTTTTTTCACACTTTTCCTGTAAGGCCTCAGAATGAAAGATATTTTATAGTAACAAGAAGCTACTAGGAGCAAAGGGCATCGCTACGAACAGAGCAAGGACGCTACTAGTAGCTCCTGGCCTTACTAGTAGTAACAAGAAGCTACTAGGAGGGGCTCCTGGCCTTACTA